TTTTGAAAACAACCTCTTCCAGTAAGCTAGCTACACATATGTGATGTCCCAGAACTGGTTCACAAACAGAAGCTGCTCTAGTTCTATTAGTTCTTGTCACTTGCCTGCTTGATATTGTATTGATACTGTGGGGAGAGATTCGGTCTTGGTCACTCATGGGAGTGAAAGAGTTAACCCTTTAACTCCCATGAGTGACCAAGACAGAATTTCTCCTTACAATATCAATATAATATCATGCTGACAAGTGATGTGAATGAGGAAAAATATCAATTAGGGAATTATAAATTGATCCAATACCAAATTCTCCAAACTAACATCGCAAGAACTTCAAGCAGACAGTAAGGAGAATTACTGATGAGATCTTGGGAGTTAAAGGGTTAATATTTTTGTTCTTAGATCTCCATTGGAAACAATTGAGGTTGCCATCAGAAGCTGTTAGGGGACAGAAACTCAAATACACTTGTATTATTAACCAGTAATCCCTGCATAATCGTTATTATGATATGTAATACATCAAACTGACTTAAGAAATCTTCACATGGCAGAGTTGGTGGAAAAGAGAACTTCTTCCATTGCGATCGATGTGACATGTGCCTTGGAATTCAGCTGAAGGACTCGCATAAGGTGAGTTTACTGTGGCACTCTGTTAAACCATTACCGTCAAACACCAGTATGCAATTTCTCTTAACTGTTCTTTACACATTTTCTATGGTTCTTAGAGTGAGAATTTGTTGAACTATCAAGTTACATGTAGAGCTGCTTGAGTTTGCGATCATTTCCTTTATTCTCATGGCAGTAATGTTTGATTCAGTGGACTGGTACAGTTGCGAGAAATGAGATGCTTATAAAAGTAATATTAATACTAATAATAATAATAATAACAACAACTTTATTTATATGGTGCTCGTATTCTCTGCTCAAGGCACTTTACAATCATACAAAATCATACATCATTGATAAAAATTTTCAAATTTACAACGGTTACCTTATCCTACTATATTATACTTAAACATAGCTAAAATTCATAATGATTAAAAAAGAAAAACAAAACTAAAGCCAGTCATATCTTATTATATGATACTTAAACATAGCTAAAATTCACCATGATTAAAAAAGAAAAACAAAACTAAAGCCAGCCATATCTTATTATATGATACTTAAACATAGCTAAAATTCACCATGATTAAAAAAGGAAATTAAGTGTAAAGCAATATAATTATATAAATCTATAAAAATAATGGTCTGTCATTAAATATATTTACTAAACAGAAACATCTTAATTGCTCTTTTGAAAATTGAGAGACAGCCACGCGCTCATCACCAACATGTAACAACTGAAAGGATGGAGAGGGACGATTTTTAATTAA